TGAGAATAATTGCATTTCAATAGTGAGAAAACGAGTTGCATGCATGGCGTGTTATTAGGTAGGACGAGTCATAATGATTGTCGTATCTAGCAACACTATCAATTTATTATGAAGCTGGAGGTTGCAAATAGAAGAGACTACACTGAAAATTGTCTTCCTGTCAAGAGGTTCCATATAGGGCTAGTCCGTCATCTAGGTATATTCCAAAGTTGGAAAGAAGTCTTTAGGTATGTCATTTGTCATATTTAGATTTTGCAGGTCTTTCCATCAGTAATACCGTCCGTGCTTAAAGCCTTCCATTTTGACACAATGATTTGGTATACCGCATCCGTCATACACAGCAAACGCTAATTTAGCCTGTCATTTTATAGGCATCTTTTCCAAAGCAGTCCCGAAATGAGAATGTTGAATATAGTGAACATTGTAGTATACAGTTGTAACATGTAATTGTACGTTTCATATCATATTTGGTGAGCAAACACCGTTGATAGCGAATACAAAGTCCAAAGTTCACTGTGCTTCTCATCATACGTTAATGTTGTATTCACATTCTGTGCTGGGGCTCTATAAGATGACTCATGAATATGCATTACATTATGCAAAGCATCGGTAGTTATTATGCAAACTACGTGCTATTTCAATTTTATCAATCGTTTTCTACATCTTTTTCATTTTAACATTGCCAATAATGGTTAATTTTTTTATTCAAATTTGTATAAAGAGGCTTGTTTCAAGCGTCGTCAATCGATTTCTAGTTCTAACGTAACAATAATATCATTAACCATAAATTTCTGCAGATAAATTAGGAAGCATTTAAATTTAAAAGATGCATGTCCAAATGACGGCGATTTGGCCTCCGAAGCTATTCCGCTTGGGTATATGCTTCTAGCCACCCTTCTCAAGGAGCGGAAACTCTGCCACTTCATAAGATGTGTGGTTAGAAGAAACATACCCATGCGAATATGATCTGGTAAGCCATGATTGTCTTTTCAAGAAATAAAATAAATTACTTGTATCGAGTTACTAGACTATTTTTATGATAAAACTAATTTAATACACAAATCTCTTTCACTGCCTCGTTACAAATTATTTACTTCACCTGTTACGAAGAAACTGAGAGAGAGAGAGAGAGAGAGAGAGAGAGAGAGAAAAGAGAGAGAGAGAGAAAGAGGAAAGAGAGAACGAGAAAGAGGACAGAGAGAGAGAGAGAGGGGAAGAAAGAGAGAGAGAGAGAGAGAAAGAGGAAAGAGAGAGATAGAGATGAAAGAGATAAAGAGGGAGAGAGAGAAGGGGAGAGAGAGAGAGAGATAGTTGAAAACAAGAGATATAGTTGCAAGAGAGAAAGAGAGAGTGACGGAGGAAGGGTAAGTGAAAAGGAGAGATGGGCAGGAAGAGGGGGAATTAAAGGGGGAGGAGGGATAACACACATTCGATTAACCTCCTCTGTTATTTCCATTTCACAAATGTGGAGGACTCTCCTATTTACGTGCCTGCAAGTATAGACTACGTTCTTTAAACGGAGTGCTAAGGCTCTAGGAAATGACTCATGCATATGCATTAGTTTATGCAAAGCATCAGAAGTTATTATGCAAAAATATGCGCTATTGCGATTTAATCGATCGGTTTCTACATATTTCCATTATAAAGTTTCTTAATATTAATAAATGTCTTATTGAAAATTGAAAAACAACATGTTTTTAAGCTTTTAAAATCAAATATCAGTTTAGAAATAACAGTGATAACATTAACCATAAAAACTCTACTGATAAAAATGAAAGCATTTAAATAAAAAATGTTCATATCCAAATATCGGCGATTTGACCACCGTATCTTTTTCGCATGATTATGTACAGTTCACTCTATTGTAGCAAAGTTTCTAATGAATCTTCACCAACTTTGAGAAGAAGGGTACATGGTTATGCGGACATGATCTGGAAGTCATGATCGTCTTTTGAAGAAATGATGAAACGCTCATATCCAATTCATAGGACATTTTCGTAATGTAATCAGATGTAATGCACAATTCGTTTTAAGTGCCTCGTTACAAATTACAATCATCATCATCATCACCATCATCGATGAAGCGGAAGAAGAGAAAGAAAAGAAGTACAGTTAAATCTGCATAAGTCAAATCTACTGGGGCCACACAAACACATTCGCCTTAGGATTTGCAATTTAACATGTTTTGCAATTCAACAAAAACGTAATTCTACTTTTAAAAAAGGAAAGATATCGATGGGGAGTGGAAAGAGAGAGAGGGAGATATATTATATTTATATATAGTTGAACAAAACAAGAGATGTAGATGAAAGAGAAAGAGAGAGAGAGAGAGAGAGAAGGGGTAGAGGGCCGGGGCTGGGGAAGAATAAGTCGAAAGGAGAGAGGTGGAGGAACAGGGGTAGGAAGAGGGGGAGGTATATGGGGAGGGATAATATATATTTGATGAACCTCCTCTTCTATTTCCATTACACCAATACGACTCTCCTATTTAAGTGCCTGCAAAATATAGACTACGTTCGGAGCGCTGGCTCTCAGAGATGACTCATGAATATGCATCAACTTATGTAAAGCAGGTCCATGTTATCACGCATGTACTGTATGAGCTTTTCCAATTTTATCGATCGGTTTCTACATTTTTTCATTTTAACATTCTCATTAATTGTTAATTTTTGTATTCAAAGTTGGAGCACGAACTCGGTTTCAAGCTTTATCAATCAGTTTTTAGTTCTAACGTAACAATAAAAACATTAACCATAAATTTCTACAGATAAATTAAAAATCATTTAAATAAAAGATAATAGAGTTCAATCGATGGCGATTTGGCAACCGTAGCTCCTTCGCTTGAGTCTGTTTTTCAATTTGAACATCCATCAAATCTTGTGAAGCGGCAACTTGCTTTATTAATTGCCGCTTCACAAGATTTGAATTTGAAAAACAGACTCAAGCGAATGGGATCTGGTAAGTCATGATTGTCTTTTCAAGAAATAATTGAAACACACGTATTGATTTAATAGGCCACTTTCATACTGTAATCAAATTTAATACACAAATCTCTTTTAGTGCCTCGTTACAAATTATCTGATTTCTCTGTGACGAATAATTGCATTGCAATAGTCAGAATGCGAGTTAAAGGGATAGTTGAGTTCTGTTTTCAGACCGCAAATGCCTTCAAAGTGCATGGTTATTGCTCTTATTCTTATCTATGACATTTATGGTCCCTTTTAAAACCTAAAATTGCTATGAAGGTAATTTAGACCCCAAAATGTGTGAAATTTAGCCAATACGATCATACCACTTCAGCTCCACTTTAAAAAAAAACACGGTGACCGTTAATTAATTATTTAATTGAAAATAACAATACATGGGCCGGCTGGTTGTGCGTAATAAGCAACACGAAAATGCCAACAAAAAAGCCAACATCGGCATTGGCTAATATACGACGTAAAAGGCGTTGTTTCGTTTTTTTCAACGGTTTTTTCAAATTTGTCAAACTATCTAATATATGTGGTGGTACACAAGTATTAGAAATCGTTATATTTCAGCCGTCTCTGAACCGAATTTGATCAAACAAAGATGATTTTGTCATTTAAATATTATGTTCTTTCAAATTTGACACTCAGTTTTTCATTATCTCAACAAAAAAAATTATTTTGTGTAGCGCCCTCTGCAACAGAACTCAACTATCCCTTTAAATGCACGGCGTGTTGTTAGGTAGAACAAGTCATTATGTTTGTCCAACCTAGCAACACTATCAATAATATTGATATGCAATTCGCATTCTTACTATAAAACGAATGGAATAATGTTCCACTTAGCATGTCTTAACAAAGATTCATGCATTTACTTTGATTACATTACGAAAATGGTCTTTTGTAGTATTGCTGATGTTATGATTTAAGAGTGGGGCTGAGATTCGAATCCTGAAACCCTTGGATTCAGAGTCAAGTGAATGAACCACTACACCACCAGCACGTTGTTGTTGTTGTTTTGTTTCATTACGAGTGTCACGCGGCCACATTCTAAAGCTCAAACCTACACCGGAAGCGTTAGCGCCAGAAATAGCTCATCTACAGATGTCTTTTTACTTTAATATTCAAATTTTATACCCAAAACAATGGGGAATAGATTTATGGTTCTGCGATGGTACAGAAAGCTCGAATTTCATCTCGCCATAGCTCAATCCAGCCACAACAGGAAATCAAGCGATCCCCGTAATATTTCCGTTAACAAGGTAATAGGTGTTATATTTTTCGTAGGGCGACAATGCTTAACATAAACTACACCGGATGTTTATGGGTTTTGTTAAACACATGATTGGGTAGGACCACACACGTATCATGAAATCAATCTTTATTTCTTCACGGCCGAGGTATAGCGCATAGTCATAACGTACCTTGCCCTATTACAAAATACCTGTATTTTTGTGCGTAAAATGTTAAGTTCGAAGAGATTGGTTTTTTCTAACAAAATTTAGAGCCTAACGTCTCTTTAATGCTTTTAAGCATGATGATATATTACCCCGGGAATCGGATTCACGTTTGCCCGCACACACCGTATGCACATTAATAATAATATTAATAATATGTCTTGTTTACCCAGGGTAGCCTCATCAGTATTCATATCAGTATTCAGTATGCCTGAGGGCCCTGCATTCTCCACTCCCTGGGGAGCATTCCGGTTAGGCCTCATTTCACAGACGCTCACAATGCTGAGCAAACCACAACGGCCTTCGCATCCTGAGTTGGGAGAAGCAATGAAGTCAAAATGGCTTGCTTTAAGGACATGAATGCCGTGCTGGGATTCGAACCCACGACCTGTGCATCTCCATTCAACTGTTCAACCACTCCACACAAATCGTCTCCTTTATTTAAAGCCCCACTGTACTACTTGTAGCTACTTGCTCCCTCTTTATAGAAAACAATGCCTAATCGGTGACCATTGGTCCCCATGATCCTCTTTTTCTTATGTTAATTGAGAGTTGAGTTGATGAGATAACTGTCACGTTGGAAAACGCAATCAACGATTTTATCAAAATATCCTTTTTTCTTTCATTAAACTAGGAACTAAATAAAGCGAATTATAGCGTGTATTTGTGACAGAGAGGGGTGGAGAGAGAGAGAGGGAGAGGGAGAGAGAGGGAGAGAGAGAGAGAGAGAGAGAGAGAGGGAGAGAGAGAGAGAGAGGAAGAGCGAGCGAGTGTGAATGTGCCATCGGTGGATGTAATTAGTGTAGAAATTATACAGTGTTCCGTGAAGCATTGAATGTGTTGTCACGGGTTACTATCTGAAAAGGTTGAGACTACCATTGAAAGGAAAGTGGAATGGCATTACACCTGTTATAGACGGGAAGTGTTTTTTTTTGTAGTTGACTGTATATAATGTACTGGAGTGATACTGGCTAGGGCCACACCCAAAGAAGTTGGCTTGGTGTACGGAGGTCTTGATGTACGTAGCAGCTTGCTTCAAAGCATTATAGTTAACTGCTTGTACACACATTATAGAAGACAAGTTGAGAAAGATGTGGCTTCTGGCTTTATAAGTTTTGCTACATGAGAATTTGCAGCTTTAAGTAGAACCGATACTTTCCATCGGTAAGTGAAATCATGATACGGTATTTTTTTTACTACATTGATGATTGTATAATCTTGTACTTTAATGAAGGATGATTTTATTCAAATGACAAATTGAAGTACGAGAAAGGTATAACATGTTGTTTCACCTTTTGTTATCAATTATATTTTGGGCAAAGAAATTAATGATTAAGAAGAGGAAAATATTTACAATTTGTATTGATGCATGTTTCACCTATAAGAAGAATCTATAGTAGAGAAATGTTTGTGCCTGAACTCTTTATATTTTAGATGGCACAGGGGCTTGGGAGACAAGCTGAGATTTCTACGACTACGAGAGTTGTTGCAAGACGGGACATTCGGACACGTGACCGACAGATCACCAAGAACATGGCGTCTTCAGTAGAGAACGCAATATGAACATTATGGTGAGCGATAATGGTGCCGATTATGTTGACGAGACTATTATGGAACTTGAGATAAATAGTTCGTTGAACTTGAAAGTCACATCTAAAAAGATGTCATAGGCTTAGCAGAGCCAATTGGACTATTTCGTGTTTGAGTGTGTATTGTTGATGCATGCATTGTATAAAGACTATTTTGAAAGATGTAATCAAGGGTGAAGTTAGCGGACAATACAGGTCTGGAGTTAACCGTTCACGTGACGAGAAGTCAGTTGTTGATTATTTTGAGAAGAGATCATGATATTTGTGAAGGTATAATTTGTTAAAGTTGATAACTAAATAAACGACAATATACTGGTCTGTTTATTGATGTTAAGGTAAAATATCTCAAGAACGAGATGTGTATGAGTTAATTGTTTAAGCTACAGATGTGTTATATATATTTAGACAATTCAGGTCTGTTTATATATAAACATTATTGGTGTAGAATTCATGTATTACAAATTATAGAAAGATTTGATACATGTTACAAAGGTGTTGATCATATATTTGATTGACAAGGTTGATTTTATTTTGATGGGACCAAGTGTTTTTGGAAAGAGATTGTAAGAGGATATATATTTCGTTCGTACCATTCTCTTTTTGTCGGAGAATGGTACTATTCTTTGCTTTATAATAAAGCTTCATTATAATTACGAGTATCGTAAATGGCATGTGTTTAGGCTTCTTTATTTTGAGTGTACCATGTGACATTTTGGTGTCAGAAGTGGGATAGAGCATGCCATTTACAGTCACATGGAAAAACAATTAAAAAAACATAGTTCAAGGAAAGGAATTGAAATTATTGAAAAAAAATTGTGTTAGCTTTGGTAGTAATTAATTTTGTTACGAGTTGTGTCCCTGCAAATTGTAGATTTCACACAGTGAACATGGATTTGGGGAAACTTATTGAAGCAGGTGAAAAGTTTGGATTGGGCGGTGATGAGTTAAAATTGTTTGTGAAATCTGAGCAGAATAGAGCAAGAGATGAGAGAGTTGAGCAGCTAGAATTGAAGAAAAGTGAAAAAGAGTTAGCCGAAATACAGCTTGAGATCGAGCGGGAAAAGCGCGCATCTCGCGAGCACAATGGCGGCGAAGCTAGTTTTGTAGAGAATGGAAGCAGTCAGACCGCAGCGTGCGCGAATTCGCTTCCATTTATTCATATCGTATGCACGAATTTGCTCATCATGAATACGTAATAAGCAAAAACATGGCACAGTTCTCATCTTTCTGCTATGCTCAGGATTCATTTAATGACATTGAATTCGTCATGAATATTGAGCCAGAACTATAAACATTATAATGTACTATTCAATAAATAGTGAGTGAAGTTTCAAAATGTGGAAAAAACACCAAAAAAAACTTGCAAAAAAAAAATATTTGAAGAGTCGGATATACACGTTAAATAACCATTTTTATCGGGGGTGCATCTCGCTGAATTTTGGCTTACCACATAATGTAGATATTTTCCTAACATAATATTATACTTCCTGTGAATGTCTGTCTCAATACCAGTCAGGAACAAGCAAAGTAGTAGCTGATGCATAATAGACTCCGGCGGAAAATAAGACATGGCCGATCGACGAGCGTTTCGCATCGAGATCAACCGGGGGATACCACGTTATATATAGCTCTGCGTCGATTCGCGGTCCAACCAGTCTGCGCGCTATACGTGAACACGCACGGAAAATAGACGGAGATTAGGGATATTCATGAATTACTCTCGTGTGCGTAACCCCCGGTCGTAGAGGCTTTTGTATTGCCCCACATACTTAATATTGTGTACGATACTCATGCGCTACATAATTATAGAAGTGAACGGAAAGTACAAAGTTGGATACGGATAAGCACACAAGTACAATATAGAATTCCAGCTCTAGGGACAGAAGAGGGGATTTAAGTGTCTATAAAGGCTATTTTTGGCCAGGCTTTGATATCATTTTAACAAAGAAGACACATTATTCGTTATGAAATGTATGTTTGTGTAAATACAAACTTTCAGGGTGGGGGGGGGGGGGGGGGGGGCAATGTTATTGAAAATTGAAAATATGATTGTTCCCATCCCTGCTATTAATTTCATGGTTGTAAAAGTTCTGAAATGTGTTTTTATATTTGTAAACCATGGGCTAATTAGAAGAGCCTTAAACAGGAATTTCTTTTGGTAATTCCCAGACATTCGATGATGGTAATATTTTATTTCATAATTCTTTTGTCAATTGCGTTACTCCAGTTCATGTGTATTCCTGGAAATAAAATATTACAAAATTCTTTCCCTTATTCTCTTTTCTGTTTGATTTTGTTTTAAAGTGACCCGCGGAATATATATATATCTGGAAATTTATTTTCGGGGTTTGTTTGTGTGTAATATGACCCTTGGATAGAAATATAAGTGTGCGGTGGGCTGAAGGGCTCAAATAAATCTTGTAGAATTCTAATTTTCATCTTCAACATCATTATCACAATCACAATCGTCATCGCCATCACAATCATTATCATTATCATCATCACCATAGCCATCATCGCCATCACCACCTACATCATCATCACCACCATTAGCATTGCATCACAATCATCATCATAATCACCGTCATCATGATCATCACCATGCACCACCGACATCGCCATTAATTGCCATCATCACCATCACGTTAACGACCAGCATTGCCATCATAATCACCCTCATCATCACCACCATCAGCATTGCCATCAAGATAATCATCGTCATCATGATCACTGTCATCATTATCATCATCACCATAGCCATCATAATCACCGTCATCATTATCATCATTACCATAGCCATCATCTCCACCGTCGCCATCACCACCATCACAATCATCATCACCAACATATCAAAATATGTCAATGCTTGACTATTTATATTATGTTTACCCTGTGTAGGTACTATTTCTGGATGAAATACAAATCTGCAAAATATATCTTTTAAACAGATTGTTTTTGTTTTGTGGGGGGGGGGGGGGGCTATTATTTAACAGGTCTGTGTAATTCACATTTCTAAATCAAAATTGATGCCAACTAACCCAAGAGAAAACCAGGTCTGGTTTGTTCTGAATAGCCTAGTAAATGGACAAAAAAATGTATTATTTAACACTACTACAAATAATAAATGCGATAGGACTAGGAATAAAATTTGCATTTTCTAATATTTATATTTTATTTATAAACTGACTTTGACATTTATGTTGAGACCATCACACGCATAAAATGTGTCGCTGAGAATAAAAGTATTATTAGAGTTAAATATTGTTAAATTGTATAAAGGTGACAGTTCAGTCAGTTTTCTATTAATATAATAAATGCATTGTTCGTGTGAAGCTCCGGAATCCCACATTGGAACTTTGGAAGTATCAGAGATTTTTGTTTTATTGAAAGGAATAAGCTGAACAAAATCCTTCTCGTCCTTCTCCCAAACTCCCCGTTCAAGATTGTTTGTTCCAACGTGAAGCAAAACTGCGGTTGAGTCTTCAAATAAATAACCATTAAAATTTAAAACGAACAAAGGCATGGAGTCCAGTAAATGTTGATCCAGGAATGCAATGGAGACTGATGTGTGATGTCTGTCAATGTCCCGCAAGCTTCGATGGTTGAGTGCGTCTGTCAGAAAAACAACAACAAATGATAAGAAGAATAAAATGTCTTAGTTCAATGTATGGGGATTTGAAAAGATCTTATCAAAGTAGCTAGCCATTTATGGTAGACAAAACTGGCTTGCTTTCAAATTTATTTTTTTAAATGAAAACAAATTACAGGTGTCAGATTCATGAAGTTTTCCCTTCATTTTTCAAGATGTGCACAAGTTCTAAAATGTAAGTATTTACCTTTGGCTTTTTGTTTTAATTCTGCTCTGTTCATAATCATAATATTAATATATAGGTCTACAACTCGCACAAGGAAATGCTGCTCATTTCTGTGGCTGGCTGTAAGGTTTGAGTTAAGCAGAAGGCAGAACCAAAGTTTGAGAATTCCAAATTAATATAATTAATTATCCTGTAAGTAATTTGTCATTCTAATAGTAATATCCAGCTCAGCTCAACTCAGCTCACTCGCTCAGCTCAGGATTCCAGTACAATTCGATCAGTTATCAAACCCCTTCATTACTTGTCTAAACATGTTTAAACCCTTGTAAATATACATTTAAAACATATCATTTGATCTAGATTTATAATGAATAGCAATGACTAATGAGCAGTGTCAGCAGTCGATTTATTTACATTGCTGTCGATTTGCGACAACAAAAACTAAAAAGCTGACAAAAATATATACACATGGGACTACATAAATTCCTGCTGTATGCGCCACACAATGGCACAGCTTGCAGCGACACACAAGAAACCCCGCCATTCCTGACTAAAAGGCCGTAGCCATAGCAATTCCCCGCGGTTTCTAATCATTTTCCGTCTACTTCCGGCAGATTTCCAAAATATAGTCCAATAATTTGGGCATATTTCTTATTCAAACATTACTTGCATCTACGTGTTTTCAACATCAAATGATGGACTGGTTATCAAAGACGACGTAGGAAGCAAAAATTCGAAATAATATTATCAATACCAGTCAGGAACAAGCAAAATACGACACAATGTAATGAGTAGTTAATTTCCGAGGAATAAAAAACGCTCTTTTTGTTTGCGATAAAAGTAAGCCCAAAATGTAACTAATTTGGGCAAATTTGGTGTCAAAGAACAGCGAAAATTTCAGAGATTGACTTACCCCACGATTCCGCCATGATGAATTGCACTGTAAGCCATACGAGGGCGAGAAAATGATGCTACCAAAATCCCGTGGCTGGTCTCGTGTTTTACGAGAGCGTTGTAAGCGAGCTTTTCACCGAACGGGAATCTGAATAAAAATTGCCGCACAGCCTCATTATCGCGCACGCTGCGGTCTGACTGGAAGCGCTAAAGCAAGAGCGCCAAAATTGCCTCTCTTCAATCAAGAGAAGGATGATATTGATGCATACTTACAAAGATATGAACGATATGCCAAGATTCAGAAGTGGCCAGATACTGAATGGGCCATAAACTTGAGTGCTTTGCTTACAGGTAGTGCATTGGAGGTTTATGCCCAGTTGTCTATTGATGATGGGAATAACTTCCAGATATTGAAAAATGCCCTTCTAAAAAGGTTTCATTTAACAGAGGATGGTTTTAGATCCAAGTTTGTTACAGGAAAACCCAAGGCCGGAGAAACTGGGCACCAATACGCCACCCGCATGGAGAATTACCTAGACAGATGGATTGAACTTGCAGGCATCGAGAAGACGTTCGAGGAGCTAAAGGATCTCATTCTTCGAGGGCAGTACATCGAAGGCTGTCATCGGGAACTTGTTATATTCCTTAAGGAACGTCAACCGACCGCTATGAAACAGACAGCGAGACTGGTGGACCAATACTTAGACGCAAGAGGAGGATACTTCAAGACACCTGTCCCTCAGAGACACAACCCGACACAAACTGAAGACACGAAGAGAAGTGAGGGTAAGCCTCCCTCCCAACATAATACACCTCCTGGTAATCCTTATCCCAAGACTTGTTTCAACTGTCACCAAACAGGTCATCTCGCTAGAAATTGTCCATCGCCTTCGGTTCCTAAGTCAAGGTCGTGTTACCTCTGCCATAAATCTGGTCACTATGCAAACAATTGCCCATACAATGCTCCCAAAACAGCAGGACTGATGACAACAGATGATACAGATGTTACAGTACCACACGGACAAGATTGGTTCCCTCATGATTCTGAGGTAGGTTTGAACAGATCACGTCAATACTCCCATACCCAGATTAATGCAGAAGCCCCTTACATAAATAAATATTCATTTCCAATTCTCAGTGCAGCTTGTAGCAATATTAACTTTGTAGGCCTGAAACAGATGCCAGTTTTGAAAGGCTTTGTAGGAAAACAGGAAGTTTCTGTCCTCAGAGATAGTGGTTGCAGTGGAGTAGTCGTCAAGCAAGGGCTTGTCAAACCAAGTGAATTGACGGGTAGAGAAGTCACATGTATACTCATTGATCGTAGCTTGAGAAGAACACCCATCGCTATTGTAGAGGTTGACACTCCTTACTTCACAGGCAAGGTTGAAGCAATATGTATGCCTAACCCTTTATATGATCTTATTTTGGGAAACATTACAGGTGTCCGAGCTGCAGACAATCCAGACCGATCATGGTCATCTCACATCCACCCAGTATGTGCCGCGGAGACAAGAGCTCAACGAAGAGATCGAGAGAAGCCATATCGCCCATTAAGGACCCCCAAGCCCTTGGAGAACCTCGTCAACCCAGAGACATTAAGGAGAGCACAACAGGAAGACGAAACTCTTGGCCGTGCAAGAGAACTAGCAGAAAGTCGAGAGGAGAAGATAAGTCGCAACGATGGCAAATCTTCTTTCTATTATCAAGATGACATATTGTACCGCAGATTTCAATCACCAAAGGTTGAGGCTAATCACCTATTTACTCAAATTGTGGTACCTAAACCGTATCATAGACGAGTCATGCAAATTGCACATGAGTCCATACTAGGTGGACATCAAGGTGCTAAGAAGACCTTACAAAAGGTACTTACTAACTTCTTTTGGCCTGGTGTCACTTCAGATGTGACTCGATATTGTAGATCATGTGAGGTGTGTCAAAGAACTATTTCAAAGGGTAGAGTAACGAAAGTGCCTATACCTTTTGAGCGAATGTATAGCAATAGTATGAGCCATCAAGAAAATCGAGCCCTACCTGTATGGCAGAGAATTCATCCTTGAAACGGATCATCATCCACTAGCTTATATGCAAAGCGCAAAAGTGGCTAATGGTAGAATTATGCGTTGGGCGTTAGCATTGCAACCGTATCGTTTCCGCATTGAAACAATAAAGGGCGCTGAAAATGTAGGTGCTGACTTTCTAAGCCGATCTCCAGCAGAGTATTAATTATGAGAGACTCCGAAATATGTTGAGTAGAGAAGGTGTATTTATATTGTGTGTTTTTTTGTTTGTTGTTGAGTATGTGATGTGTTAAGAAAAAGAAAAAAAAAGAAGAAGAGAGATTCTAACTTTTCGTATAGTAGATGTGGTAGATTAATTATAGCAAGTTAAAAGAAAAAGAATTAGTTTGGTAAAAACGGATGCGTTTTCTTGAAAGGGGAGTTATTTGTCACGTTGGAAAACGCAATCAACGATTTTATCAAAATATCCTTTTTTCTTTCATTAAACTAGGAACTAAATAAAGCGAATTATAGCGTGTATTTGTGACAGAGAGGGGTGGAGAGAGAGAGAGGGAGAGGGAGAGAGAGGGAGAGAGAGAGAGAGAGAGAGAGAGAGAGAGAGGGAGAGAGAGAGAGAGAGGAAGAGCGAGCGAGTGTGAATGTGCCATCGGTGGATGTAATTAGTGTAGAAATTATACAGTGTTCCGTGAAGCATTGAATGTGTTGTCACGGGTTACTATCTGAAAAGGTTGAGACTACCATTGAAAGGAAAGTGGAATGGCATTACACCTGTTATAGACGGGAAGTGTTTTTTTTTGTAGTTGACTGTATATAATGTACTGGAGTGATACTGGCTAGGGCCACACCCAAAGAAGTTGGCTTGGTGTACGGAGGTCTTGATGTACGTAGCAGCTTGCTTCAAAGCATTATAGTTAACTGCTTGTACACACATTATAGAAGACAAGTTGAGAAAGATGTGGCTTCTGGCTTTATAAGTTTTGCTACATGAGAATTTGCAGCTTTAAGTAGAACCGATACTTTCCATCGGTAAGTGAAATCATGATACGGTATTTTTTTTACTACATTGATGATTGTATAATCTTGTACTTTAATGAAGGATGATTTTATTCAAATGACAAATTGAAGTACGAGAAAGGTATAACATGTTGTTTCACCTTTTGTTATCAATTATATTTTGGGCAAAGAAATTAATGATTAAGAAGAGGAAAATATTTACAATTTGTATTGATGCATGTTTCACCTATAAGAAGAATCTATAGTAGAGAAATGTTTGTGCCTGAACTCTTTATATTTTAGATGGCACAGGGGCTTGGGAGACAAGCTGAGATTTCTACGACTACGAGAGTTGTTGCAAGACGGGACATTCGGACACGTGACCGACAGATCACCAAGAACATGGCGTCTTCAGTAGAGAACGCAATATGAACATTATGGTGAGCGATAATGGTGCCGATTATGTTGACGAGACTATTATGGAACTTGAGATAAATAGTTCGTTGAACTTGAAAGTCACATCTAAAAAGATGTCATAGGCTTAGCAGAGCCAATTGGACTATTTCGTGTTTGAGTGTGTATTGTTGATGCATGCATTGTATAAAGACTATTTTGAAAGATGTAATCAAGGGTGAAGTTAGCGGACAATACAGGTCTGGAGTTAACCGTTCACGTGACGAGAAGTCAGTTGTTGATTATTTTGAGAAGAGATCATGATATTTGTGAAGGTATAATTTGTTAAAGTTGATAACTAAATAAACGACAATATACTGGTCTGTTTATTGATGTTAAGGTAAAATATCTCAAGAACGAGATGTGTATGAGTTAATTGTTTAAGCTACAGATGTGTTATATATATTTAGACAATTCAGGTCTGTTTATATATAAACATTATTGGTGTAGAATTCATGTATTACAAATTATAGAAAGATTTGATACATGTTACAAAGGTGTTGATCATATATTTGATTGACAAGGTTGATTTTATTTTGATGGGACCAAGTGTTTTTGGAAAGAGATTGTAAGAGGATATATATTTCGTTCGTACCATTCTCTTTTTGTCGGAGAATGGTACTATTCTTTGCTTTATAATAAAGCTTCATTATAATTACGAGTATCGTAAATGGCATGTGTTTAGGCTTCTTTATTTTGAGTGTACCATGTGACAATAACCACCCGTCAGTGACCACCCTGTGTGGTCTAATCCCTCCTGGCCAAACTAGTACAGACGGGCTTTAAACAAAAATATCTAACTGATTATATTTAAACGGCTCAAACTACTAATCTGTCAAAGGTCGATTGCGTATAGACACTCCAACTAGAATTTCTGTAATATTAGTTTTCTATAATAATCCATTGAATGCCAGTTAAATAAGAATGCCCAAAATGAGCTTGAACAAAAGTCCTTATATCTCGGGACCTAAAAAATTGATCGGTGTTCTTTTTAAAAATTTCGTTAACATACCACCAATCTGATTCCATGAATACGAATGTGCTATTTTTATATTTTTTGTAATTAATAATTGTATTCATCATATGGGGGGGGCGATCACAATCAAATATAATCAAGTATCGGATAGTTTACATTTTAGGGAGGAGGGGCTAAACAAAAAAGAAGGCTATGGTGCAACTACCAAGGGCATATTATGATTACATTCTATACAACAGCGCTCAATTTCTACACTGACTGAATTCATTACTGCAACCCTGGACCAGCTACTAAAAGGGATTGGGTATCTTTGCCTCAGATTCTAAACAAAATATTGGATTTAGCTTATGCTGCAATTAAAATTATAAACCTCTAGGTCAGTCAGGAATTCCATGACTTTTACAATCCGATCGCCAGTCTGATTATCAAGATATTTATGATTGGAAATTGAAATTTCATTTTTCGTTTTCCTTACAGCTTTATCACAATACAGTCTATTGGGAAAAATGAGTATGGTAAAACCGGTCAACCACATAAATTTACTTTTTGAGGCACTTCATTATCCTTTCGAAGCGCAATTTTTTAGGGCTTCAATTTTACACCACAGACACTGATAACACATAGGGCCATGCATATCAGATTTAATATTGCTAAACCAAGGACCTACCTTTAAAACACCTAACTTTAACCTGCACCTTGTGAAAAACATAGCTTAGAACGATAATCGTCAGCAGAGAAAATGTCGGATTACTCATTCAAAGAATTATAACTTTATAATTTCGACTTCCCACTTTAATTCACATGCTTCAAAACTCCGAGGGAATCAAGTTGATTTTATCAGATTTCCTTTAAAACATAAAAATCCGTATATTTTTTCTAACACCGTTGATTCTTTTTTTTCTTCTTCCGGGGCTGCACCCTCGTCATGGCAGGGAGAGTCCCTTTTTATTTTGTGGTGATCATTGGATAACAACAACGAAATATATCAATATTAGCAATTAAATTCACATTCACATTTTGCAAGTTTCAGCGTACTTGTTTGTAGAGCATGAGTAAGCAATGTTTAGCTCCAGTCAGATAGAGAGAAAAAAAGGAGAGAAAGAGAGAGAGAGAGAGAGAGAGAGAGAGAGAGAGAGAGAGAGCAGGAGAGAATGGGGAGGGGAGCGAACATGATAGAGAAACGCAAATGGATGTGTACTTTAAAGGGGGAGGGGAGCTTTTTTTTTTATTGAATGTTGATGGAAAATCGGTTCTTATTTTCAATTGACATTAGATCACTGTCTTTCAATTTTGTTTATAAACATCGAGTATGCTTATGACGTCACCTGGGCATATAGTTACTAGTAATTGACCCCATCGTTCCTTGGTTGTAAATAAACTAAGCTTAACGTCATTTGGGGGCAATATCAATCAATATTTTACGGTGTCTAATGATAGCAAAAGGGGCAATATGACGTATGTCCGTGGTACCCTATCAAACAGTCCCCACCTCTTCGTCCGCCCCCATGAACGATCGACAAAGACCCAATCCCTACTCACCGGGGGACATAGTTTGAATCGTTGCCAGCATCTCGAATCTCCAGACTCCAAAATATTATTATCTTTTCTTCCTTCCTTCTCTTTTTTTAAAGCCTCCCGACGGACATACTCGTGACAATAAGTCGTCCTGCCAAGAAGTGTGATGGCGTAGCGGGTGTCGAACCAGGGGAGGGGGTAGCCTCTATTTTATACTCATTTTGTACCTAGGTTTTTAGGAGCTGTTATAGAGGGTTTCTTATTTGTGGATGGGCATGGGGGTTCTTTCATTCATGTTTACATGTGCCTCGTGTGTTTTTTTCAAAGGGAAGCTCGATTTTTTTTTGAGGGGGGGGGGGGGGTGGAGGAGGGAATGAGCCCCGCCCCAAAACTCCTCTTCAACGGCTTCTGCCTTTTCTTGCTTCTTCCTCTGCACTTAGTCATGTAACTTGCATATTGAGGATAATCAAAATGTTGATTTGAATTCAATATTTTATTTGGGGGTCGTAGTAACTTACTTCAATCCACAATGCCCCACCCCCATCTCTCCCTCTTTCATGTTCTTGTTTTCTCTTTCACCATCCGATATACGTACCCCCGTAACTGCCTGTATTGACTCGGAGGCGTATCGTTCAAAGATTTGCCGCCTCAGAAAGATAGCCTCCTATCTCAAAGTTTCGTTTTCAATATCTAAAGAAAAGAAAAAAAATGTTAATCTCCATCTTCAGGATCTTCAGTTGTATGTGTCAGATTGGTCCGATTCGTTTAAGATGAGATGGGAAAGTTTGGAAGTGATTCTGATCTGATAATGTGGGACAATGTTTTCTATATTGGGGTTAGGGTTCAAGGGCAGGTAAGCTTGTTTTAGGCAGTTTCAGTGGTAAAATTAGACATTGGCTTTTCTTTGTTCGAAATAATGCAATGTCAGGGTATTTTCATCAACTTCTTCGAGTCATCCTGACAGGGATATAATCGGCAAATGATTTGAATGCATCAAATCTCACTCGTGGTTTATCTTTGATTATGTGTGGTCTAAATTAAAGGGATAGTTGAGTTCTGTTGCAGAGGGCGCTACACACAATAATTTTTTGTGAGATAATGAAAAACTGAGTGTTAAATTTGAAAGAACATAATATTTAAATTACAAAATCATCTTTGTTTGATCAAAATCGGTTCAGAGACGGCTGAAATATAACGATTTCTAATACTTGTGTACCACCACAAATATTAGATATTTTGAAAAATTTGAAACCGTTGAAAAAACGAAATAACGCCTTTACGTCGTATTTCAGCCAATGCCGATGTTCGCTTTTTTGTTGGCATTTTCGTGTTGCTTGTATTACGTACAACCAGCCGGCCCATGTATTGTTATTTTTAATTAAATAATTCATTAACGGTTACCGTGTTTTTTAAAAGTGGAACTGAATTGGTATGCTCGTATTGGCTAAATTTCACACATTTTGGGATCTAAAATTACCTTCATAGCAATTTTAGGTTCTAAAAGGGCACTAGAAATGTCATAGATAAGAATAAGAGCAATAACCATGCACTTTGAAGGCATTTGCGGTCTGAAAACAAAACTCAACTATCCCTTTATGTTGAGGATTGCAATTGAAAAATTCTACCAATACTATATGTGTAGTATTAATAATATATTCAATGTTTATTTAACTGTTCATTCCATACTTTGTCGTTTTAGAACGTTCAACATTTACTTACAATTACAAGTAAAATACAAATAAGCAAACAAACAAAAGCAGCAGAATAAAATGAAAATACAAACAAACAAAGCTTCAACAGGCTCATTTGGCCAGTCATAAAAGTATCTTTTAATTTTTGAAAAAAATGATATTGAAAAATCATTCCCAAAAGTTATAGAAAACATGATTATTGAAAAAGATTACTAATTCGATCCATTTCACGACCATTTCAAAATGCTTAATACTTCAACAGCTAAAAGAACTGAGACATAGTGCAGGGGGCTAAACCAGGCAATAAATTGGGATATAGAAGAAATCAGAAATTAATGTTCTTGCTCCCTACTTATCAAATTGCTTTAATACCGGAAAAATTGAAATTACTCATGAAGAGCGCCAACTGCGAGCATTGGAGAAATGATCACTTCCTATATGTAAGTAAGATAGGTTTGATTCCTTTGGTAAAATGTGAATCGTATTCTGTGTGTTTGTGATTTTGAATATTCCTCACTTAACAATGATTACAGAAAAAAGTAACGCCGAATCTATTTTATTTGTTTCATCAATTTGTTTGTAAGTAGGGAATATGTAATTAGTTATGATCTAATCGACTGTGTATTATGTGTACTTGTCCATATTATCTAAGTTTGTTGAAATGATTTTTAATACATGTAAAACTTGCAATGTAATTTAGCTTTCGAGCTACCATTTTGAAGTTGTCTAATAAAAAACCATTCTACTACTACTACTATATATTAACCTTTTATAAAGCTGTCTTTTATTTTTTATATTTCCATTGAAAATACTTTTCAAACTATCGCAATTATTTTGAAAAAAACAACTCAGGACAATATAAATCCACTATTATATATCCCATACAAATCATGTTTGTATTACATAATACGCCACTGTTATGTTCGCACATATCAAAAGGCCACGCACAACGCTATTGAAATTCCCTTGGGTTCATTATAGTACATTTGTGTGGTTTCATTTTTTATAACATTCTTTAACCGACATAGGCCTACTTCTAAAACGAAATAGCAATACATTTTAGAGGATATATATTTGGAACGGAGTAATTTTCGTGAATACTAATTTTAAAAATGCAATTTCTCAGCATACTTCAATGTACTTCAAGATTATTTACGTCATGTACTTTGAATATTCTTATTTTTAATTATTAAAAAATGCAGTAACTCACCTGGACACCAGGTAAGAGTTAAAGACCAAATTTGAAGGAGAAGAAAGAAAGAAAGTAAAAAGACCCTCTAAAAATGCTGACATAACGAGCTAATATAGGGCAGCTTAACCAAGCAGTATCACATTTACCTATCCTTAGCAAATGAGGGCGATAGAGCGATAACAAGGCTCACTTTTAGCGCCTCGCGATTAAATGCTTCGCGAAAAGTCAAGCTCCCTTCTCAACCCGTAAAGGGATCTTCAATAATCCCGCGTTGATGGCAGAGTTGGATCGCCGTTA